TTGTGTCTTTTATATTTGTCTTTTCTTAATATTTGTATGCTCCTTTCTACCTTCTTGAATATAAAAAAGTATATAAGTTGTTTTTAATGTCCTTATCTACTAATTCTTTCATTTGTGCCATTTTTTGGTTTGTTTTTACTGGCTTATTTTTAAAAATCTCATTATGGAGTATATTTTTCTACATCTTTGCATAGCTTGTGATTTTTTATTTCATGCCAGACATTGTAAATTTCACATTGTTGAATGCTGGATTTTACTTTTAGTCCTGTAAGTACTTTCAAGTTTTACTCTGGGACACAGTTATTCGGAAACAGCTTGGTCCTTTAGAGAATTGATTTTGTAAGTTCTTAGGCTAAATCAGAACAGTCTTTCATCTATTACTAATTTTTCTCTGCTAATGAGGCAATACTCTCCTGTGTATTTAACTCAGTGATCCCATATATTACAAGATTCCTCCACTCAAGATATTGGGAATGTGAACTAGTCCCAGCGCTGTGTGAATCCCAGGAATTATTCAGCCTGCTTCCTTCCAGTCATTCTTTCCTCAGCCTTGGATAGTTTCCGCACATTTGTACTGATCAGTGTTCGATTTAAGGCTCATGAGGAATTCCCTGAAGATCCCCAGAGCTTTCTCTTTATAATTGCTCATTTCTGGTACTCTGCCATGAAAATCTAGCTGCCTTTGTCCAACAGAATTCTCAATCCTGTTCCTCCAACTCAGGGTAGCTACTGGGCTGTGTGTGGGCTCTATTCATTAGAAAGAGGTCACTAGGTCCAGCCCAGACTCAAGGGGAGGGCGCTACACAAAAATAGGAGACAGAGATCATTGGGTGCCATTTTGGAGTCTGCCTAGCAGATGCTGTGTTCTGATGTCATGTGCAGAATGCCTGTGGTGCACTTACAGATGTTCATCAAATATTTCTGGGTTTCTCTCTTCCAGGAATTGCAGTTTCTGGCCCCCTTATGATTATGTGGAGCCCATTGACTAGTTCAGGCCAGTGAGTAAGCAGCAGCCATTAAATGCAGTGCAAGACCCTCCTGAGCTGTCTTTCTCTGTCACAAAAACCAAGAATGAACCAAATAGTGGTAGCTCAGTAACTTAAATACCAGAGTGAGGATAACATAAAGCCTAGCCCCCAGACACCCTCCCCTCAATGGACATGTATAATGTGCAAAAAAAATAAACATTTATTGTTTTACACCATTGAGATTTGGGTGTTGGCTGTTACCACAACATAACAAAATTTATCTTGACTTATGTAGACTTAGTTCCAGACTTAGATACTGCCATAACAAAAACGTAAAATATATTTGTCATTAGGGCAAGTGGTCAAGCAGCAAATGACAAGGAAATTGCTCTTAGAAGCTGAAAGGATAATTAGCTATCTGTTATTCAGTGGAAAACCTATTGAAAAAACCTTTGGAAAACTTTGTGATAACCTAGAAGGTAAATGATTTACTAATGAACTTTAATGCTAGGTGAAGAGGTTGGAAGTATGTCGGTAACATTTGGTTGCTGTTGCTGTGTTTGTCGAGTTATATGTAAAACAGATAGTTTTAGAAGACTATACTTTCAGGGATCATTTCTACAGTTCATTAAAAGAGAGAGGCTCAGAAATGTAGTGTGCAAGCAGAATAAAAATGAATAGAGTGCCCAGAAATTCAAACTATATTTTAATGACTCTTTGAAAATATAAATTTTTGAACACATTTATTCCCTCTCGGAACTTTGTAACTTTTTTTTTTCTCAGTATTTCCCAGTACTGGACATGCTAGACACAAGCTTAAATAAGCTTAATTGTTTTTTCTCCACGCCCTCTCCTTTTGTTTCTTGCCTGGATTCGTGAGGAATTCTCTCTTTATTCTTAAAATTGAGTAACTTAACCAGGACATATATATATATATATATATATATATACACACACTCTTGTAAGAGATTTAATATCTTTGTCTTTTGCTTCATTATATTCTCTTTGATTTTCTCAAAGCTTTCCTCTATATCAGCAATTTAAATTTAAGCTCTCTAGTCTTCTTCATGCTTCTACTTACTTCCTAGTCCTTTAAGGTGTTCTGGCCTTCAGTTAATTTCCTTTGCTCTTTTATCTCCATTTTAGTTCATTTACTCATCAAATATTTATCGACTACCTACAGCATACCAGGCAATCTTCTAGGTAATAATGATATAGCAGTGAACAAAACAGACAAGATTCAGCCCTCATAGACCTTATGTCTTTAAGTCCCTGCATTATTGAATTCATATTCTTAAGTTCCTCTAAAGCGCAAATGATATATGGAGAATTTTCCTCGTTTCCCCCTTAGGTAGTTTATATCTAGGTCATGTACTTCATCCATCTTTTGAATGCTGTTTTCCTTCCTTCTTCCTCCCTTCCTCCCTCCCTCCCTTCTTTCCTTCCCTTTATAGTAGTAGTCTGTATAATTCTTAATTTTTTTCTCTTGCTCATATTTAACATGAAATTCACCCAATCTAGTTTTGTTTTTGTTTTTGTTTTTTTTGGTTTGTCAGTCAGTTACTGCTCCAATACTCTTATTTTTGGCTTCAACCGAAAATATTTTTCTTGCTCAAAAGACTGTGGATAGTCTCCTATTCAGCTCATTTCCACCTGCCTCACCTGGGTTTGCCAACAACAAACAGGACTCTGCATCTCAATTTAGATTCACTCAGATATGATCCAGGTCTTCATTATTTTGGAAACAGCAACCAACTGAGGCAGTTTTTCTTCGGAGAAACAGCAAAGTCCAAGAGACAAAAGCACATCTAAAACTGCTTCTAGTTTCAAAAATAATAATAAAAAAATAAAACCCCTTCTAGTTTCATACCGGATGTTATTCTATTAGCCAAAGAAGCCACATGACCAAACCCAGAGCCAATGAGGCAAAAATGTGTACTCTACCTACTCTACCATACCAGGAGGCTCTGCACAGCAATGTGCAGAAAGGATGGGTAAAGAATTTAGAATAATTCAATCTAGTATACTCTACTTTTGTGTGGGTAAATTTCTTTGATGTTTTTTCCATTTATCTGAAACCTGTTCTTCCACTTACAGCTAGAGTGTGAAAGATAAGTCATATTTTCCTTTTCATAGTGTTTCTATCAGAGGAAGTATTATATTAGCAAGAATTCCCCTAAACTGTGTGTAGCTTTTCAGGATGACCTGGCTTCTTTCTGCTGTTCTGAGAGTATGTTGAGTATCTTCAATGAGGTCTCAGTTCATTTAATTAGGAGTGAATTCACCTCCAGGGCATGCTCAGATTTTTGACTTCAGTGTGGACTCCTGGAAAATATAAACTCTATCTAAAATCTTTTTCTGCTTCTACTGAGGTACTGAAGTGGTAGTATGTAAGGTTCTACCTTTAATCTTAAACAGAATTGCCTCTCAGTCTTATTCTCTCCAGAATAAAGTTATTAATGAGACTTGTTAGGGCTTTTTAATTTAACTTCATTCCCATCTGAGACCCCTGGGGATAACGACTGGGAGAGAACCACTGTATGAGCAGTAGAGCTCTGCAGAGGCCAGAACACCAGAGAAGATGGCACCATAGTTCACCGACTCACACCTACAAACATCACTTCTACAAACTGAACCAAACTTTGCAAATTTTGGAAGCCCCCGACTCTGGGATTTCAGCATCAAAATCTAAGTGAAGTGTTGGAGGTGCCAGGCTGCACCTCCACCACTACCTCCACTGACTCCATTCTCACTAATGAGTAGTTAAGAGTAAAATCCAGCAATTGCAAGAAATTGATTAAAAGTTGCCTATTAATAACAAAATATATAAATACTAAGGTGAAAAACATCCAAATATAAACGTGGGAAGCCTCAACACTATGAACCACCATTGCAACTTGAAACTTACTAGCTATCAGAAATATGTGGTGACAACTACTATTTGTCCTGGTGGAGGAATAAGGTGTTCCTTGTACTTCACAGTAATTGCACATAAACTTTAACTTTTTTTTTTTAATGGAAGGCTTGCTAGAATGTTGTAGCTCATCAGAATTTTTGTGGAAAATATTAATTTCATTTTTAAAGTGCTTGAGTTGTTCATTGAAATCTGGTCTAAATTGATCACTAAGGGTTTAGAGTATTCAATGTCTGACAATTTTAAGGAATTGGTAATTTTAAGGAATGCCTTATTTTTTTATCTTTTCCTCCCTTCTCCCATCTAAGCACTGTATATGAATTAAATGCCTAGTACTAATTTCATCTCTTTTAACAGTCTTCTATTTATTCATTACATCCTCATCCACTGAATCCTGCTGCACTTACAGTCAGCACCACAGAATGAGCATTGCGTGTATATCTTCAATTAAGTTGTAAGTTTCTTGGAGCTGAGAATCTGTTTCTAAATTTCTTTTGAATCCTCCAGAGGGCCGATGAGTTAATGTTGGAAGCCTACAGCTTCCACAAACATTGATCGGGTCTCTTAAAGCGCCGCTTTGACAAAGTGTATAACCACCTAGCTTCGGTTGCACCTTGCCACTCCTAATGGCCTGGGTTTCTTTGTGCTCATCGACAATTTTCCTTTTCTATTAGAACAAAGGGCTTGTTGGAAAGAGACACCAACGCGGCGTCCCGAGGAACCTAAATGAACAGAATTTGACCCACCGCTCAGGGCGTTGACCCTGTAAACGAAGGCTAAACCTCTAAGGAGGGCCCATGAACAATTTTAAAGACGCAGGTTTAAAAATCCTAGTTAAAGCTTAGTTACCCGCCAGTTACCCGGGCCTACGGTGCGGCAGACGCTAAAAGATGTTGACAAGGCAGCCTGGATCTACGGTCCGAGGCCCAGTCGCTATGGTAACAGTGAGACGCAGGCGCACTTGCGGCCTTCGAGGGCGTTAGAACCTAGAGAAAAGCGGGGCGACGGCAGCGACTTGCGGCAGCAGAGTGACTTACGGCTGACCCGCCCCCTCGGGAAGCGACGGGGGCGGACCAGGGGAATACAAAGGCCCGCGCGGGCTTCTGAAGGGTCCGGACTAGCTGTCCCGCAGTATGACCCAGTCGGTGATCGTACAGGGTAAGCTGTGCCGGGAGGGTGAGACCCAGCCCGCGCTGAGCCCCAGGGCCTTGTTGGCCTCCTAATGTCTGTCCCTATCCTTCCTCTCCCTGATCGCAGTCGGCCAGTGCGGAAACCAGATCGGCTGCTGCTTTTGGGACTTGGCGCTGAGGGAGCACGCCGCGGTCAACCAGGTACCAGCCCTGCCTCCGGACAGTCTCACTCACCAGTCACAGCACGATTTACTCTATTGAGCTTTTACCTGACCGATATGCGCTGTCTGCGATCTTATCAATGAAGGATAAACTGGTTTTTAAACGTATATTGGCGTTAGACACATGATAAACTAAACTGGGAAGAGACTTTTGGTCTTACGTTTCCCCTAATTCTCAGGGTTTCATCTTCATCAGCATTCTTGTGAAGACCAATGTGATAGTAGTATATGTGAAAGTGCAGTACTTTGTAAAATAGCTAACGTGCGGTATTCCTAGATTGTAAAATAGGTAACTTGTGGTACTCCTTCATTTAACCAATCGGCTTTTAAAATGATCAAAAGAATTCAGAAAAAGCTTCCATTTGATTCTGCATTCCTATGAGGACGTCAGCACGCTTCCTTGAATTTAAGTCAAATCTCAGATTTACTCTTCTCTAGATTGGAAAAATCAGTCTAAACATTTTATGATAATTTGCTTTTACTTATCATAGCCACACACCAGCCATTACAGAATTGTGGCTTTGTTAAATTGAAACGACTTCGTTTGGTAAAGAGGCAAATTAATCAAATGCTCTAAATATTTTCTTTCTTTTTAGAAAGCAATTTATGATGAGGCAATAAGCAGCTTCTTTAGAAATGTGGATACCAGGTAAGTTGGGGCTAAAGTCTATTGCCTAGGGCAGTGACTTTCAGCTGGTGCTGTGGCACACTGGTAAGCTGCAAGAATTTTTAAAACGTGGAATAGCTGACTCTTCAGTCAAGGGCACTGACCTCTTTTCCCTTAAATTGTCAAATAAAAAAATGACAACAGCCAACACAACAAGAGCCATCTGGTGTAAATGAATCAAAATTATACCTTTTTTTTTTTTTTTTTTTTTTTTTTTTTTTTTGCTTGATTGTAAAAAAAATACATTTTTGGTGAGCCACAGAATTTTAGTAACTAGTTTAAGTGCCAGGAGATGAAAAAGGTTGAAAGTTACTGACACAGCATAGTGATACTTTTCATGTCAACAGATTGGACAGTTCTTCAAAGGACAGTAAAAGCAGAGTTGATAACTGTAAAGTTGTCTGGCTTTTTTGTTTCTTTTTCTCATTAAAATCATATTTCTCATTCTCATATCATTCTTCAGAACAGGACAGCAGGTTTTCTTTTAAGCCTATATTAAGTGACAAAAAGAACCTTTAGTATGCCACCTTTTAACTTGACCTGTAAATAAAGTTTCACTTAAAAGGAGTGCTGGAAGATGCTCCTTGGGTATTTTGTTAATTCATCTTGGCTAACTTTTGAAAGAAAATTATATTGTTTACATTTATGTTAATGTGGTCAGGAATATTTGCTCTATGAATAGAATGTGCTGAAAGGGAGACAATTATCAGATTACCTTTGTTTATTTAATAAAGGGTATATGTAATTATATATCTTTATCTGAAAGTAACTCGACATTCAAGTTTTGTTCATAAGCTTTTTTTTAATCCTCACCTGAGGATATATTTATTGATTTTAGAGAGAGAGAGGAAGGAGGGGGAGAGAGAGAGAGAAATATTGATGTTAGAGAGAAACATCCATTGGTGGCCTCTTGTATGTTCCCCGACTAAAAATCAAACCCACAACCTTTTGTTATATGGGATGATGCTACAACCGACTGAGCTACCTGGCCAGTCAGGCTGTTCATAAACTTTTAATGTTAAATTAATAAGTTCATTTATCTTCAAAACACTTAAAGCTAAACTGTGGTGGGCTTGAACTGAAAAATACATACTTAATATCCAGTTTTAATATAATTCAATGAAAATTGCAGTTCTAACTTGAATTTGTTGGTTGGGTATCTGAGGTAGTTATCTCCAAGTTAGTCTTCAACTTGGTGAATTCCGGATCCTGACCCCTAGGCTTGCAAACTTGGAAACATTGTTGATGCCTTGAATATGGGTCCACTGTTATCTAGTACAAGCAGGTACACCAAACTAAAAGCAGAAAGGCAATGTCACAAAGCCTATGTCACCTCTACTCAACTCTGCCATTATAGTGTGAATGCAGGTAGTCCATAAACAAATGGGTTTAGGTGTTGATACCTGTTTAACTGTAACAGCAAACCTCATTAATGGTGGTTTAAATGATAAAGGTATCCAGTGATCTCAGATGCAAATAAATCAGGAAATTAGATGTTCCAGGTTTGGAGAAGTGCCTTAAAGACCAAGATGCTGCCTGTCGTTTCCTTATTCTTAGTGTGTTGACTTTGTCTTCATGTTTATTACCTTATAACTATGAAATGACAGCCTCCAGTCTAGGAATCACATTCATATTCACATTCAAGGTGGGAAAACAGAAGAATTGTCAGCAACTGCCAATTTTTGGCAGCAACTACATCTCCTTTTTATTAGAAAAGCTTCCCCAAAATACTCTCTTATGAGCCAGAATTGAATTATATGGGCAGCACTAACTACAAAGAAAGCTAGAGAAGTAAGTATCTCACCTTTTTAACCTAATGGGAGGTAGGCAAAGGACACAATTTAGAATAGTGACTCCATTGGTATCTGTTTTGTCTGCCTCGCCTGGCCAATAGGTAGCTTTATTATGTAAATAGAAGTTAACTTTATTACCTGATAGTACTAATAGCCATGGAAGATCTTATGGGTTTTTTTTCTCATTTTTTATTTTTCAGAGTTGGTGATGGTGGCAATATTTCCAAGGGGAAAATTTGTTCTTTAAAAGCACGAGTAAGATATACACACTTGGAATCTTATACCACACATGTTTTTAAAATAACTATACTTCTGAAACCATCATGACAATAAAATTTAAATTTAACTTCTCAAATTAAAAAAAGTATTTACTAAGCCACATGTAATATAAATGTAATTAGCAGACATAAGTGTCTGCCTGCAATTTTAGGGAGACTATTTTTGTGCTTAAAGTAAAAACACTTCATATTTACCACTTTTTCCTAAATCTTTCAGGAGAAATATATGTCTAGATAAATTATGAGCTCTTTCTTAACTCTAAGCCTGAAATACATAATAATGCAAGTTAATTTTTCCTTTGAAGATAACAGTTTATTTGCTGCTTTTACAAAGCATGGACTTAGCCATATTGTAGTGAATAACCTTGTAAGACCTCCTGAACAAAAATATTTTGAGTCAATAACCCATATTAGTCCTAATCTCATTTCCACAACACTTTTCTGCGATTGTTTGTCTCGGACAAACTGCTTTTTCCAATTATTGATTAGTAACCTTTGACTTTAACAAAAAAGAAAGGCACTTTTGACGCTCTGGAAGTGATCGAGACAGTAAGGATCAGATGTGGGGTACTGGCTGAAAGAATGAAAAGCAATAGTCTGGTACCTGGGAACCATTTTGTATCTTTGATCTTTTACATCCTTGGAAAACAAATTTAGGGCAGTGACTGTGTACTTGTAGGCTGTTAGGTTAATGGATTAACACTTGGTATACTCCATGCCATAGACAGTGCTAACATCCCAATCTAATTCTTACACAGAAAAAGAAATGTTGACATTTCCTAGACCACTCCCAATTTGAGCTCTTTCCCACCACCATGTCCGCAGGCAAGGCGAAGGAAACACTGTTGGAAGAGATAAATCAGTGTGTTTCTGTAGACTTTGATTTGTCCTAGAAGGTAGTCTTCCATTTTTCCTTAGGGGTATTGGCATTGTATGGCTATGATCAGTGAAGAGCCTAGGCTTCAGGAGTTAACTTGGTGGCTGGGTCCCTCTACTGTGTCTAGCATCTGAAGTTAACAGGCAAATACTCAGAATTGTGTGCACCCTATGTTACAATTAAGGGAATGCTGAAACACCAGCAGGCTGTCCCCAGGTGGCTCTGGAAGAAAATGATGAACATCAAATCCTGGAACAGTTGTGACAGCAGACCTTGGGTGGCTAAGTGAGAAATTGAAAGTAATTTCTCCTAATTTTAATTAATTTCCAAGGAAAGATTGGCAGAGTTATGTACTATGTCAGGGCTTTAATGTTAAGTGACTGTGACAGTGATAATGCTATCAAAACTGGCTTTAGGAGGTGCTTGAATGTCAGTTTTCTGTTTGCTGCTGCTTTTGCCAGATTGCAAGGTAATGGAGGGTATGGCTTAAATATGTTTAATCTCACTCACCATTTCAGAGACAGTAACTAAATGGTATTTCTTCAGACCCAAAAAAAAGGTTTAATCTTCCACAAATGATTTCAATAAATTTATTTCAGAACAAGGTCAGTATATAGTAAAAATTGCATATTCTTAAAAATCCCTAAAATTACCGGCAAATAGCCCTATATTGTCTTGTCTATGTAGAGTGTATCTATATTTGTATATGTAAAGGAGCACATTTGTAAACAATTTTTGTCTTTCTAATATACTGCAGTAGTACACCAGCACTGTGTCAACTATTATACAATTAAAATATAATATTTCTAATATACTGTGTAATGCTATTTTAATTGCCAGCTTACGGTAGCATCATTAACTACATAAATAATTGAATTCGCAAATTGTAGCTCCATTGGAGTCAGTACTCTAGAAATATCAAACTTGACTCTCCTGCTCCAATAAGACGGCAGAGCATATAGTTCAGTGGTTAAGAGTCAGTATTCGGCAGCCAGGCTAGCCAGGTTTGAATCTCAGCTCTACTACTTACTAGCTGTGTGATCATAGCCAAGTTATTTAACTTTTATAGACCTCAATTTCTTCAATGTGTAAAGTAGGGAAAATTATAGTACCTACACATAGGGCTGTGAGGATTAAATAGGGTGGTACATATAAGTACTTAGAATAGTGGCATATGTAGTAAGTGCTTAACAGTAATGATCGCAAAAGCTAAAAATGCCCACAAACCAAGCACTTTTCTCTGTGACAATGAAGCGAAGTGTTAATAGCTTTATGGTGTACCCTAAGATTGTTTCAGAATTTTTTTTTCCAGCTTCTCTGTATTTACTTAACTACTTACTTTTTCACCCCTTTCCCTTATTGTAGAAAATATGGGAAGTAAAGCACAAGACAGTGGGGGTACAGGGTTTATAATCCCCCTGCCAAGCTATCCCTGCTTGCATTTTGCTGTATTTCCTTCTAGCCTTTGATTCTTTTCATAGTTAACTCTATGTTTTATATTCTGGTGTTCCTCTTAGTAATAGAGGTTTTCTCCTATGTCAGTAAAGTTTGTGGTAATATGTTAGAGTGTGAGTTACTTGGGGGGAAGGACCCTGTAAGCACCTTTGACCTCTACCTAGTGCTTTGGCTTTGCACAGTTACTGGCTTGAATTGAACAATTTCCGTGATTCAAGCAGCATGGCTGCTTATAGTGAGCAAATACGTTAATGCACCCTCCGTTGAGCATTTTCTCTGGTTAAAGTTACCTTATAGATCTCTTGAGACCTTGTTCTCAAGAAAGTTACAGTCACATAAGCACATGAATAAAAGAATAGTTAGAAATCAGTTGAGAGGATTATTCAGTTCCTTTTTTCTCCCCCTACTTGGAGTAAGATAAGAGCTTAGAATCCATCTTTTATTGGATTTCACCTTTCAAGCAGAGCGAAATTATTTTTTAATTTCTATATCAGAGACTACATAAAGATTCAAATAAAGATTTGATTAAACTTAGATTATAAAAAGAACAATGCAGCTTTTAGCTCATAAGTTATTTTCATGTACAGAGTGACTAACTCTAAAGAAAAATGTGCTAATTCAAATTTATTTCTCTTCCTCAGGCTGTCTTGATTGACATGGAAGAAGGGGTAGTAAATGAAATTCTGCAGGGACCTTTGAGAGATGTATTTGATAGCAAGCAGCTCATCACTGATATTTCTGGCTCAGGGAATAATTGGTGAGAATATGCTGAACATTAAAATGGAAATGTCATCTGAAAAAAAATGAGCAATATTTCCTTCATTCTAATAGGTTCTGCTAACATGAAATCAAAATGCAACTTGCCATACCTAATTCTAAGCCTTTCAGCCATCGTCTTTTCCTTGATAAATGATAATGTTCCATAATTCTCAGAAGCCACCTATATCCTAGTTCTTTCTCATTTTTTTAAGAAAAAGATGAATCATGAAAAACTGATTTGCTAAATTCCCTCATTGTCAATTGATTCTTGCATAATACTAAGTAGTGACAAAAGTTTTAAATAGTTTTATAAACTGTTCACTTACCTATACTGCTTGACTCTATGAAGTTCCCCAGTTGGTCAGATTTAATAGAATTGATACAGAGATGCAAGCCAGACCAGTGTCCCAGCGTTCAGGCTCAGCCTGAGGCCCTGTTTGGTCCTTCAGTTACAATGGCTGTGCCTCCTTAACGGGAGAAGAGCTCCAACAACGATCATTTAAAATTTCACATTGAGAGTGTTTTTTGAAAATTAAGCAGCTCCTCACTATTTGTAAATCTTATATTTATTATTTTATTAATAGCTATTTGCAGTCAGTCCCTCAAGTTCATAATGTGTAGTGATGTATAATTTCACTAAAGCATGAATTCGAATTTGAATCTTGTGTTCTGGGAAAGTCATTTGGGGAGAACCAATCGCTAAATAAGTCAGTCCACGTGACCACCCAACTGGCTTTTCTCCAGCTGTTGAATAACATATTCTGTAACTTTTGAGGTACACCTGACTGCACGTTGTGGGAATATCATGCTTATTTTGTAGTTCATCATAGTGATACTTGCAAATTTGGGCAGGTAAAAGGCTAGCAGATTCTCATGAGTATCAGTTTTCTCTTGTATGTTATTTCATCTAGTAATAACATGATGTGAGCAATGTTTTTTTCATTTTAAACTAAAATAGTTTAAAATTTTTTGTCTTTCTAAGTTGGCCACATTCTGCTTTTTAATATATAAGTCACCGCAATCAGAGTTCTTTAAATGGAAATGAGAAAAACTGTAACTAAAATCTTTTGTTGTAATTATAGCTTAAGAAAAAAAATGAGAAATTTAGAAAACCATAGTTTAATATCCATTGATAATGATCTATCTAATTAGTATATCTGAGGATTATACATACATAGTTGCTAAATTTTTACCTGATGTCTTTGAAATATCATGATTTTTTTGATATGAAACTAATCAGAAATCAAATCTTGAAATAATGCAAGGAATTTTCTTAAGTCTGTATTCTTTTTTTTCAGGGCTGTGGGGCACAAAGTTTTTGGCAGTCTTTACCAAGAACAGATTTTAGAGAAACTCAGAAAGTCGGCAGAGCACTGTGATTGTTTGCAGTGCTTTTTTATAATACATTCCATGGGAGGAGGTAAAGTTATTCATTTGTTTGCCAATGTGAAACATTGACAATAACAATGTGAAACACAATAACAATGTGAAAGTATAGTTGGGAATTCATTTGCAAACTTAAGTCTTGTTTTCCATCCTATGCCTGATAAAGAGAGAACCAGTAAGAGCATGCGTGTTCATGAATGTATGTACATAACAGCTTTTTATCTTAAATATCAAAATGTGTCACTAGTACCATTTTTAAAAAATCCTTTTAAGGGTCAATAGAAAAAAAGTAAATAGAATGGAATCTGAAATATTTCTTCTACCTTTATTTTATAAATTTCCAACTACATTTCAGTTTATATGAGCTTCTTGGGAATGCTGACTTTCTCCTAAGAGTTTGCTCATGCAATTCTTTATCCTAACTACAGCTAAGTATTCCTGGCATTTTCACAGGTATGCTTGCAAAAGACAATCAGTATCTTTTTCTATAACTATCTTCAAAACTGTGTTGTGTCCAATAAGTAAAATCGTTTTAGTGAACTTTAAATCATTCCTCAAATGACAGTTAATCAACTTGGCCTACAATAAATGATCTGCATTGCCCTCTTTCCCCGGGGGATCCTACACTGTACAAGTGAAGTCTTTTTCTTCCCTATTCCATCAAATAGAAACATCATAATCTGCTAATTTCATAATAGGATTAGGTGATTTTAAAAGGAAAATTTGCTATGTTTTTTTATTCAAGCTAAGATTAAGAATTTATATTCAGCAGGTTATGTACAGTTGACAAAAGTCTATACATATCTATTATTCAGTGTGATAGCATTTTATAATTAAAGCCACAATCACTATGTAACCATGCCTGTAGAAGACCATCATAACCATTAAATTAAGAAACAAGTTTTTTATACTAGTATAAATAACATGCAAGATTAAGTTATTTTTTAAAAAACAGTTTGATTTATAGCTCATTATGGTGCCTTTTTAATCCCTCTATTACTCAAAACCCCAGAAGATTATAATTTATAATTTGCTGAAAATGACAAAAACAATTTAAATAATACTGAAGGTTAAAAATGAAGTTCTCCTTTCCCACATTCAATCCCTAGTGTCTCTCCTCACAGGTAATTAAGTTGCCAGTGTCATCCTTCCAGCTATTTTCTATGCCTATTAAAAGTATGTGTGTCCTGTATTTTTACATAAACAAGATTATGCAATGTGTATTCTGTAATTTTTTCACTGTATGTTTTTCCCAAATGTCTTTCATTATCAGCTGTCTCATAGAATTCAATTGCGTAAATAGGTAATGTTAAAGTCAGTCCTCATTGATAGATGTTAATTTGTTTATGGTGTTTAGTTATCACAAACAATCCCCAGTGAACATCTGGCACATACGTTTCTGTTCCTTTATGCCGCTATAGCTGTAGGAAATATCCCTAGAAAGGAAAGTGAGACCTAAGTACATTTTAAATTTGGATTGATTACTAAATGTCTTCTTACATTATTGCATGAACCCATATTATTAGCAACAATTTATAAAAGTTTATTTCCCCATACTTATCACCATCACTGAGTATTATGAGATATAAATCTAATATGTTCAAAGTTATATTATTTTAAATTGCATACCTTTAATTAGAAGATAGGTTGAGCATCTTCACATCTATTTTCCATTTGGTTTATCTTGAGTTAGATATTTATATACTTAGCCCAGTTTTTTAGTGTATTCCTGTATTTTTGGTTGGTGATTTGTGAGACCTCTTTACTAAAGAAAGTTTATCCTCCATCATATGTGTTGAAGACTTTTTCTTAGTTTGCCTTTTTATTAGTTTATGGGTTTTTTATATATGTATAGAAGTTTTGCTTATTTTTCATGGAATCAAAATCATCTCTTCTATAATGGCTTTGGTTTTGTATAATGCTTAGAAATTACTACTTATTAAAGATTAACCAAAAAGATCTCCCTCACTTTCATCTAGTATTTTTAACATCATAGACTATTACTATTTATCTACATGGGTTAGAGCATTGCCTTTTAAACTTCTTTTTAATCAGAACAGCAAGAAATATATTTCACGTCAAAACCAAACGTAAAAACACAGACACAAACAGAGGGGTCAGAAAATGTTACTTACCCACACTACATGCAACACATTGATTATTTCTACTGTTATATTTAAGAAAACAAAATAGTGGTCCTAACCTAATAAATTAGTTCCATAGACCACTATTGGTTCACAACCCATAGTTTGAAAAACACCGGCTTAGAAAATTCCAGTTTTATCTCTTTAAAGTTCTTAAAAATGTCTGAATTTATATAAATGTAACTATGTGTGCCAGAAAGTTATCTGAAGGGAATTCCTTGAATTTCTGCTTTTAAATAAATAGTAAAAAGAAAAATTTCCTACCTGAAAATATTTGAAATTCAAGGTAGTAATGCTGAATTTGAAACAATTTCAACTTAGTGTTTAAGTTGCTTAAGTTGTGATAGTGTTCATCATTAAGGTTGTTGAGGTCTGTCCAGAAAGTATCCAGCCACATACTATGAAAAATAGAGACATTTATCAAAGAAGATACAAGAGACATTGTACGTAGGCCAATGATGCCTCAGTCCCCTTCAAAATAGGTACCTTGGGACCTCACACAGTTCTCCCAATCGCCATCAGCTGCCCCATTGTATTTTCCTGAATTTCATCAACGGTCTGAAACCTCCTCCCTTTTTTAAGGTGATTTTCATTTTTAGAAAAATTAGAAGTCACAGGGCAACAAATCTGAGCTGTATCAGGGCTGAGTCACCTAGGTGATTTGACATTTCACAAAAAAAACTCTGCACTAGACATGATGCATGAGCAGGCAGGTTGTCACGATGAAGCTGCCAGTCACCAGTTGCCCATAGCTGCAGCCTTCTGAATCATTACAATAGTTTCCACTGAGGAATGTTCAAGCTTAACACAAAATTTGATGCAAATTTTTTGCTGTACTTGCTCATTTTTAATGTGACGGACACAGTACACATACATGCTCACTCAATGGTGACTTCTGTCCCCACTCACTAGTACAGTGAAGTCGTCATTGTTCATGCCTGCGCATTCCAGTCCACCCTCCTTGGCTGCCAGGTTACATCAAAATTGCATAAACTGTTTAATTATTAATTTTTTTAATTAATAATGGCTGTACTTTTCCTGGACATACCAAAAATGTTATGATAGTTTTCATTTTTTTAAGATGCCTAATATTAAGTGTAGGCCTTAGTTGAATTTTTTATCCTTCAGTTCTTTCGGCATCATATAGATACAACTTAATGTGAAAAAGAGTGAAACAGAAAACCCTCCCAAACTCACAGCAAGAGCCAGAGCTTGAATTCAGAACTATAAGCCTCACTACCCATGTTGTCTTTGTTTCCTTATCTGAAATTAGATGAGTTAATATACAATCACAGGAATATGTTGAAAATTAAAAGTTCTTAATATAATTTCTACCAAAAAATAAAATTCCAAATTCCTTATGATTATATTCTGAACCATTTATGCTGTTTTCTCTTTGAAATTTAACCCTCAGGAACAGGATCTGGACTTGGCACATTTCTTTTAAAGGTGCTAGAGGATGAATTCCCAGAAGTATACAGATTTGTGACTTCAATTTATCCTTCTGGTGAGGATGATGTCATAACTTCACCTTATAATAGCATCTTGGCAATGAAGGAACTCAATGAGCATGCAGACTGTGTGTTGCCCATTGACAACCAAGTAAGAAATGACATTGTAATTCATGAACATATTGCCTATACAGTCATTCCTGTGTTATGCTTACATGTTTATATGAAACATTACTTCTCAGCCTTCCCGTCTAAGAGAAAAAATAAGTTTAAATTCTTTTCCTTTCTCTTCTTCCCTCTCTGGTAGAACGTCGTCTATATCCACTCTTCTTAATAGCTTCTCCCCCATTGTTTTTCTTTTAAAAGTCTCTATTTGACATCATTAGCAAAATTGACCTCATGGTGAATTCTGGAAAGTTGGGTACAACTGTGAAGCCAAAGAGTCTGGTTACTTCAGGTGCTGGGGCTTTTAAAAAACGACAGGAAAAGCCCTTTGATGCAATGAACAACATTGTGGCAAATTTGCTGCTTAACCTAACAAGGTAATCCTAATGATTGTATTCGTAAGGACAGGACAGTTTAAAAACTTCACTGTGTGTTTGATGATATTTGTAATAGCTTTTTTTTTTTTTTAGTTATTCGAAGTTGTCAGAGCTGCTTTTGTTTTTAGTTTGTCTTGCGGTTTCAAATCTTAGAGTAATATATCAGGATTTTAACTTCCGTGACTCCAAATGAACATTTCCTTAGGTATATTACATGGAATGTTAATAGGTGTTAATGTAATAAAAGGTTTTGTGGTAGGTACACTTGAGAAACACTTGGTTAGACAAAAGTAAACATTTTTTTGCTGTGGAATGTCTTAATCTTTAAAACCAATTAATCTGCACCTCCTCATTCGCTGATTCACAGTATTTCCTTGACTGAAGATTACTTTGACATTATTATATTCCAAATTATAGAGCTTATTGAGCAGATGCCTGAGGAATTTAGTAAAGATTACAGAATAAATAATCATTGACCTGTCTATGTTTAACTCAATCTTTAGTCTGTTTTTAGTAAGATATTTTTATATATGTAATGAACAACTGTAATACTATGTTGGTTATACTTCAGATAAGCCAGAAATAAGAGTTGCTAAAGATGTTATGTTATACTTTAATTATATTTATATATCACATTCATGATACTAAATTTCACTAATACGGTGGGGGGGAAAGTGTATGTTGTCTACTAAAGAACAGAGTTTGAAAGTATTTAAGAAAATGCCTGCTGAATATAAATCAAGCTACATCTAAAGTGTGTAACTTTACAATTAAATTTTTTCTCATGCTTTAATGTTAATTTTTTAGCTCTGCGAGGTTTGAAGGATCTCTTAATATGGACCTTAATGAAATCAGCATGAATTTAGTTCCTTTTCCTCGGCTGCATTATCTTGTGTCAAGCCTAACACCTCTGTATACATTGGCAGATGTTAACATTCCTCCTCGAAGGTAAGCTGTAGTAACTTTATTCCAATTACTTGAGAACTTGAGTTACCTTTTTAAAAAAATTTAAGAAAAAAAGTTTATAATAACTGTTTCTTCATATGATTTTCTTTGTGAGAAGTATATAAAATACAGTTGATGACAGCCATTTTTCCACTATATGAATGCTGCTTTATTTAGAAGTCATTATTTAAAAAAGTCAATATTAAACTATTTGAAATTAAATCTAATTAATTAAATGTTTAAGCTTATGAAAATTAATAAAGATATAAGATTTAAGGGCTTTGAAGTTTGACATACTTAAGTCTGAATCCTAATTCTCTAATAGCAAGTTTGCCACTATTTCTTAGTTGTTCTCATCTGTAAAAATGAGAGTCTGAGTACCTACCTCATACACCTGTTGGGTGTATTAAATAATGTTAGTTCTGTACCTAGTTCATTTTTAGCAAATGAAAACAGTAAGTACATGAGTGTGTATTTTTTTTGAAATTTCATATTTCTAACGTAAATAAAGGTAAGTATCCCAATAATTATTAATACCTGCTTATTGGTTTTTCTATTTTATGACAAAAGATAAATCAAGAATGAGTTTGACCACTTGTTGTTTAGCAATTCTTAACCATTTCTGGGTTTCCTTGACTCCTTAAAAATGCCAGAAAGCACAGACACACCAGCATTTTGAATACAATAGCAGGGGATTCATGAATGCCCCAAAACTCACCATCTCCTAAGAGAGTTCTCTATCCTCACTGTAGATAATCAGGATAGAATGTAAGCTCCAGGAGAGTAGGGAATTTTCTGTTGGTGTTCACTGCTGGGTCTCTGCACTTAGAACCAAGCCTGGCATATAGAAGATATTTAGTGAATATCTGAATGAATAGGTAGCGTAGTGCAAATTCTATGGCTCTTCTCAGACTTGATGCAAATTCAGCACACAGAGCTCTGGCTAGAATTGTCTAAGGAACCTGATCATATTTGTATTGAATTAATAGGGCCATACTAAAGACCTGCAAGGCTGTGAGTTGTTAGATGTGAACTTCATCAGTCACTCTTATCTTCCCTTCTTTAACTCAAGGATTAAAAAATGGAGTTAAAAGACTTCATACACTTAAAAGTCTTCCTTTTCAGGAACACTACTATAGTTTCATCTTTGATAGTGAGCCTAACATTGTCCTTTGATAGTCTGCTCTTGATTATTCCTAACTAATTTATGATGTATTTTACAGTGATAAAGTGATCTTCTCTTAATATTTTAGGCTTTTAATTAGTTTTGATAGTTCTGATACTAAGAAGCAGATAAGCATACTGAAATAAGTAATAATGACACAAGTTCCCATCAGTACCTCACAGAGCTAACTAATGATACAGTTAACCTTTGGTAGGAACCTGAAATCACCAATTTATTGCAAATTTGTATTCCAAAAAAATATATGATTTCCTTTCTTCTCATATTCCATAAAAGACTGCTGAGAAAATTATAGCACAGATGATTACTTTCCGTTTTATACAGAGGAGAAAGATGTAATATTTTGTTTAAACAGTGCCTCTAATTGTTCTAGGTTGGATCAAATGTTTTCAGATGCCTTTAGTAAAGATTACCAGCTAATTCGGGCTGACCCCAAACACAGTCTCTACCTCGCATGTGCCCTCATGGTTAGAGGAAATGTCCAGATTTCAGATCTTCGCAGAAATATTGAAAGGTATGATTTTTATATTTTTTTATTTATATATATATATATGTATTTTTTTTTTAAGATTTTATTTATTTATTTAGAGGGAAGGGAAAGGAGAGAGATAGAGAAGGAGAGAAACATCAGTGTGAGAAAAAAACATCGATCAGTTGCCTCTCTCACACACCCCAACTGGGGGCCAAACCCACAACACAGGCATGTGCCCTGACCAGGAATAGAACCCGTAACCTTTCACTTTGTGGAATGATTGCCAAGCAACTAAGCCGTGCCAGCCAGGGCAATTTTATACTTTTTTCAAGATAATTAGTTATGTGTATTGCTTGTGACATTTGTAGCATAGTAGTTAGGGTGGTCTGTGTTCAAATTGTAGAATTGCTGCTTAAGTAGAGTGTGACTTTGACCAAGCTACCTAGCCTCTGTTAGACTTATTTTCCTCAAATGTAAAAGAAGAATAACAATAGTACAAAGTTGTTATTTACAAGTACTAAATTATATGAGATGTTTTATTTCCTCAAAGTGTTCAGAAAATTTAACTATTATTATTATGTTTATTACCACACTATTATCAGTACACTTCTAAGTTTGTTTACTGTTTATTGACAGTCTATTTTTAGGAAAACTGTTGAATTACAAAGAAAATTATAATACCTTCATTTCTTTTCATCCCCAGGTTTCCAATATTAAGCAATATGTTTAGCTTTTTGAGTCACCATCACAACTAATCTCATGTCTTCTTACTAAATCTCCCTTAGTTAACTGTTAGATTGTACCACAATACTACTAGTTGTAAAAAATAGATAACTGCCATTATAAACTAATGGTTTCATTAGTAGTGTTCTAGTTTAACTAATGTGGGCTGCTATAATAAGGCAGACATTTTTAGTACCTTAAATCTTACCTTAAGTTTTTGTGTCTCAGATTAAAACCTTCTCTACAGTTTGTCTCCTGGAATCAAGAAGGCTGGAAGACCAGCCTGTGCTCAGTACCCCCAGTGGGCCACTGCCATTCATTACTAGCTTTAGCAAATAACACATGTGTGAAACCTACCTTCATGGAACTGAGAGAGCGATTCATGAGGCTCTACAAGAAAAAGGTAATTATTTGTAACAATATGTGTTTCTTCTGGCGATTTAAAATATATTCCACTATATGTGTTTATTTTGTCTATTTAAGATGTATTCCCAGAATTATGCTGTTACAAATCAGGGTTCTCCTATCTTCTATATTCTTTGTGCTAATTATAACTGAAGAGGATAGGCTTACTAAGACTATCTAAATGAGAGATCTCACGAGTTTATGGGATTTGAGTTCTCATTTCTTTTGTAAACCTGAGTGACCTATCATTTTAATAAAGAATGTTTACTTTATAGGGTAGTTGTACATATTAAATTTCCTGAAAAGAGTCGACATAATTCAGTTTTTTTAATTTGTAGGCTCATCTGCATCACTATCTGCAAATTGAAGGGATGGAGGAAAGCTGTTTCACGGAAGCTGTGTCATCTTTATCAGCACTCGTACAGGAATATAACCATCTGGATGCCACGAAGAGCATGCCTGTGGAAGATTTGCCTAGACTGAGGGTAGCTGTGTAAAACAGAAACCCAAAAGATGCTTTCACTTTTTCTTAAATTCACATTGTTTTTTTGTCACCTTACCTTTCTGTTTCAGAATCTTTGTGATTCAGAAAGCCTGGTTTGAATTTTTCATAATAGGAAGTATTTTCCTCGGAAAGAGTAGTTTCATTTCATCACCAGTTGTTGATAATACCAGTGTGTGAAATTAGTAAACTTAGTGCCTTAACTTCAAATATTGTCTTCGGAAAATTCCCTTTTTCTAAAATTGAGAGAATAGAGTTCTTCAGCATTTTACTTTATTTATAATCTCATATTTATGCATTTATACAATAAGAATCATGGCCTCAATAAAAATCTTGTACAGATATATTTTTACATTTATTTATAATTTATGTTTTCATATTCTGTTTAAATTCTTCTCACGTTTTAAAAATAAGTACAGGGAGTTGAAGACTGCAATATAAATGTTTCTGTGTAATATCCACTACAGGGATAGGTTTTATTACAACTACTGAGGTTTTGTTTCTTCTTTGGATAACCTTGTTTGTATGCACTCAAAAGAATCACAATTTACGTTTTTAATATGTATTTATTAAATTATTTTTAAATAATGCTTTTTTATTAAGCTAGCTGACTTTGTAATAATAAATTTCTATTTTCAAACAATGCTACTTGTTATTGTTTTGCTTGTCATTATTTATGCAAACAAACATTACAAAGGTTTATATCTTTTTCCAAACTTTACAGTAAATGGCTATCATAGTCTAGTGAAAGTGTTCCAGTTACTATAATCTCCACTTTTAATCTTTAACATTTATTTATCTTTAATCTCAATTTATATTTCAAATCCATATGTGGATTTATCATTTCTGGAAGTAATTTTTAGGAACAAATTATTTTCAAGCTGAAATAATTTGTTGTGTGCTTTCTTCAGTTCCTTTTATTTTCAAAGTAAGGGTAAGGGTGCTCTTGGTCTTTATCTTGGAAATTTTTTTTTGTAGTACTTGTTTTAAAAACTTTAAATTACAGTTTTCAACAGTAGCCAATGAAATTCCATTTTCTGCTTCCTAAGGAAATCTTAATGAACTGATATTCAGAGTAGGGCAATGGAAATTATAAATATATATACAGTTTAAGCATATTCCTATTTAAGAATCAATCTAGAATCTTGCTTACCCTATGATTATCTGAATGGAAGGAATCTAGGTTACATTATTGAAGTACAGATAAAGTATTAAATTTTAATATGCTTTTTATATATCCTCAAAGTATTCCAGATTATTTTATAGAACAAAATATTTCTCTAAGTTCTGTGGTTTTTCCATTATATATGGAAAATGTAGGTGGAACAAAGTATCTTTGTAGTATATCATAAGATACATTTGAAAGTAAAAGTTCATTTTTTTTCATATTTTTCATATATTTGTAGGAGAACCTTTTAAGAAGTTCCTAATGCCTTAAAAACAATCATCTGTCAATAGTTAGGCGTTCTTACTATTTTAAACCATTAAGGTAGTTTTCACCATTTTTTTAAAACCATTCTAACTTTTTGATGTAATGACCTGATTGAGTAAGTTTGAGCTTTCCCCCATGTGCTTAATTTTATAGAATCTTGAGCTCAGAAAATATGTCTCCTGGATCTCTGCAGTTTCTTTGACATACACAAGATGTGATCCACAGCATCTTCCATTTAAACGACCCTTCATTTGGGCAATCAAATTGAATGGTAATCATTTTAGACTTGTTGGGAATACAGCATCTCTTATCCAGACATATTCCACAAAAAGTAGGTTTATAACTCTGAGTGCTTGAACATCCAGAAAAGACTAATTTTTCTGCTTTGAAGAGTTGGAAAGTAGGTTGGCACGTTTTTCCTTTGGGGATCTAAAAAGATACATAATAGTATTAATATTTGATTATAATAGTGATACTAAATAGAACATTTTGTAACAAACATACAAATTATTTCTAGCACATTAATAGTTGCCATTTAGTAACTTTTGGCACTTTGTTTTCTACCTTTAGAATCTGTCCCCAGGGGTCTGTCTGCCCTCCATCATGTTACAGGGTCCAGTCCCCAGTGATTTTTGCTACCTTTAACCTAGCTCCATTATAAATGAAAATATCAAGAGCCATGTCTTCTTAAATGTTTATTTACCTACAAATTAACAAATTCCCTTACACAGCTCAGACACTTTTGAGTGGATGAATAGGTGAATAAATATCATAATCCCTTTAAAATTGAGTTGTTCTAATAGGCAGTAACTTCAGGCTGAGAGGGATTTTGTGGAGTTTTTAAAAACTACTCGATGGCCATCTTGTATAGTTACAGAAATAGGACCAACTCTAGTTACACCAAAGAATATTTTATCATGGTCTTTTGGCAAGTTTACCAAGCCAGCATTTAGGAAATGGTATGGTTCCCTTTCCAAGTGGGTGATATATAACTAAGATCAGAACTTCTCTCACATCTATGATATTTATAATTATGTAACAACCAAAATCTGTTATCCATTGGTTGATTTCACTACATAAAATTAATATAGAAAATTTAGAATCCAAAAAGGATCTACTTTTAAAAAACAACACACATAGTAGGATACTGCAGCAATTCAAGCTGATCATGACCCACACTATTAAGCTGTTAGAGTATCTAACAGGTTAAATTACCTCTCTGCTTGGTAAAATTCCCCCCATAAAGTGCAGTTAGAGCAATACTGCTTTCCTTCAAGATAGTTTGATTCTAAGAGGCATAATATGATGATTTTATAATATGGTGATGGATGGGACCAAACACCATCCCTCCAAAACACACATACACACACATACACTTTCCAGGAGTCTCTTAATATTGAATTATAATGATGTTAAATCTAATTAAACTTTACCTTTACTGTCTTTAATATATTACTGTCACAAGGCTGAATATAACACAGTCTTCTCTCTTTTCTCATCTGACAGTTGTTATTTTCATTGGTTACCCTATTAGAAATTCCCATCCCACATGTTCTGGAGCAAGGGGTCCACTTTGTTGCTTGCACAAGACATTTTCTTTTCCAAATAAGTGGGAGATTCCTATAAGCTAAGATAAAGGGGAAAAGTACATATGTATACACATATATGTACTCATGTGGATAGATAATTTTTAAATCCTTTTAAGCTAGTAATAGATCCAAACCTTTGTGTATATATAATGTAACTCAGAATCAAATAAGCTTATGACCTAATTCATCATTCTCCCATGCCCCAAATTACTTTCCAGTCATGTGTTATGTCCAGTTTCTTAGGAGGAATAACCTTTTTATCTTTGAAAATCTGAACAAATGTACCCATTTGCTGCTTTCTGCTTAACCCATCCTCTGAGTACTAAACCTTCGGTTCTGAGGGAAGATGGCTGCCTCTTCTTTGGTTCTTGCCTCATGCTTGCTATTTACAACAAACATTAAAATAAACAGGAGGATTAGGGAATTTATGATATCAATGGGAATGATGTGGTTTCAATGTTAAATTTCATGATATGTTAAAAATCTAAAATAGAAAAGTTATATTTAAGAATTAAACTACCAGTGAAACCAGTTGTTTTTCCTCCACTTGTTTTAATCTGGTCTTTTATAAAATACATTGCACTTAATAATCTTAATACTCATATGCTAAGCCATGGCAAATATGTAACCTCTTTTATTCATTGAGCTTAACATTCCCTGCGATATTGACCAGCCATTTCAAGTCACTTATAGAAACAGTTGGAGAATGAATGGGTTGCTGGGTTTATGGATGGATGGGTGTATGGGTGGATAGATGGAGCCCCCTCCATGGCTTGCTGCTTAGGAGAAACAAAGGTGAGGAAGGGGATGAATAATGAGAATATCAAGAAAATATAAAGAGAGCATAATATTCTTCCATCTTGTAAACCCATTGGGAGCTTCTTGTTCTGCCCATGAATGAATCTGGCCTTTGGTTGATTTGAAGCAAACTATAGATTGCTTTACTGTCTCAAAACATTTCCTAAAATGGATGCTTTGGGAATGAGGTTGTGATGTGAGTTTGCAGTTGAACACTGCAAAATCCTGGCTATGTTACATCAAAATGTCAATTTGAAACTCAAAAAAGATTCCCCCCAAAATGCCCTCTTGATAGGAAATATCAGTCAGGTTGAAGTATGTGTTATCCTTAAATAAAATTATCCTTTGATACTGTTTTCGGTGTTATTACAAGAGGATCTTGCAACTGCACGTAGAGCTGAGGGAGAGGAAGCAGAAATATGAAGATACCTGGAAGGTAGACAACAGTTTAAAGACCTCAATGCAGGAAGCGGGTTAAAAGCCTGGCACACATCTGCAATAAATAAAGGTAGGTTCGATTATTGTATCGCCAATAACCCCATTTAAAGTTAAGCCAAGAGCAGCAGTTCAGGAATTTGCTTAACATTCATTAAAAAGCAAGAAAACTCTAAGAGATTTTTAAAGTAAAAGTTTAGTGTTGGGTGAGCAGTGAGGAAAGCATGGAGCACCATGTCATTGTGACCAGGCAGAAGCTAGATTCTAACCATAAACCATCTAGAATTAACTGTGTATGTAAATTACTATCACAAGTATATTTTAAAGTGTGTATCTGTCACTGTGCTTAATTTTAAAAGCCAAACTCTTGTTTGGGCCCATAAATGTAGTTTTACAGTTAAGGAGAGGAGAGATCCTAGACTAAACATATACTTCCTTAGAAACATAGCTAGGCCCAACTCTCAATTACCAGAGAGATTTTTTTCCTGTTGTTTTGGTTTTGCTTTGTTTTGTTTTTGTATCAAAGCACTAACCACTAAGAATGTCTATCTGTCTAACCCTCTAACCAGATTCCAAATGAATCCACTGAAACTGCTCTCATTCTACAAATCAGACCAACTTGAACTATCTAAAGGTCTTTACTTATTGCAAACTGCTGCTCTAAGGTAGTCTCTCTCACCAAAGAGGTTCTGGGAACTTATATTGAGTCACTCAGATCCAATTTAGATAAATAACTGTTATTGTACATTCTAAAAACAAAGAATAATTTGGCTTGTAATTTCAGAAATGTTAGAACAGCAGTAGGGTCATGCTGTTAGCTGAATGACTATGTATGGTAAATGCAAATTCACTACAACCTATCCCATTTTTTTTTTTCAAATTAACTGGCAAATTAAAATCTCTGAGGATGTTCTTTGCATGTTCTTTTTAAATTTCTAAAACTCATTTATCTGATTAGAGTTGCTTTTATTAATTATCTACATGATACATGAACTTAGGAGTTTTCAGCATAAATATTCTGTATTTCCTAGGCACCTTCCATTCACTAAGCTCTAAATTTAAAAAAAGGGCGGGGGCATTGATTTCTGGATGAAAATACAGATGTGAATAACTGGGCATCAGTTTTGCACTTTTTAAGTCCTTCCTCATCTGTGCTTCATATGATGGCATTTTTGAAACTCCTGTCTCCAAAATACCCTGGAATTGAAGTAAAATGCTAACTTAGAGCAGGCCAGAAGACAAAGTTCATGAATGTACTCACACTAAATGGCCAGGCATTCAAGATGAGAAATAAAGACTCTCATTATGTGTTCTCCACTACATATATACCTGGGTAACTTACTTAAGAATGCCTATGTGTGTGTTTATTCAGAGTAAGAGGTTGGTAATTAAAGGATAATCTTATATCGGTTTTCTACTTTCAGAAATATTTATAAATTAAAAACATGTTCTCAAATATTTTTAACTAATAGACTTTCATTTTGGCTTTTATCACATAGAAAAGTTGCCTTTGAAAATTTTTAGAACTGGATGGTTCACACTTCTTGCCTGTAATGTAACAATACAATTGAAAGTTTTTCCAGGGTACATATGAACAACATTTGGTCAATTTTCCTGAGAAGAGTTTGAGTGGGAATAAGCAAAGTAAGAGTTTTACTGACCAAGTAGAGCTTTTAAAAACTGGAATATTTTAGGACTACCAGTCAAGACGGCAGCACAAGTAAGCACGGCTCACCTTCTCACACAACCGCATCAAAATTACAACTAAACTATACAACAACCATCACATAGAACCATCAGAAATTAAACTGAATGGAAGTCTGACAATATGGAATTAAAGAAATCATATTCCTCCAGACTGGTAGGAGGGATGGAGATGTGGAACAGTCTGGTCCCACATCCACTTGTGGAGGATAAAAATTTGGGAGGGATATCTTGGTAGCGAGTAGTCCCAACCCCATATCAGGCCCTCCAGACTAGAGTTCCAATGCCTAAAAAACAAGTCCTCATAACTTCTGACTGTAAAAACCAGCAGGTATTCAGTCAGTGAAAGAAACTTCTGGAGTTTCAAACAGCTCCTCTTAAAGAACCTACACACAGACTTACTCAAACTCACTCCGTCTGAGCTCCAGCACCTGGTTAGCAGCTTTAAAGGCCCCAGTGGCATACAGAGAGGAACTGAAGTGTCTGGCATCAAGGTGAGAGCTGGGGGACAGCTTTCTCCTAAAGAGAAAGGCAGGCAGAGGTCATTGCCCCTCTTCTGAATCCTTCCCTGACAGAGCAACAGAGCCAGCAGGCAGGTGACATGTGTCTTTCAACCTGACTAACATTGTCTGTCCCGCCCTGGAGATCCTCTGGAGATCTCCTGAAACTCTGTCCCACCTAACTTACAGGCACACCCAAACTGTTACCGTTGGCTTTTCCATATGAATGGCTGCTTTTGCAACTTCCCAAATACTCCCAAACAAGCAACAGCCAGCCTCAGTGAGTCCCCAACCCCCGTACCTCTGGATAGGTGGCCCCAGGCCCAGCGCTAGCAGCCGCCAGCCTCGATTCACAGCTTGGTTTCACCCAGGAGTCTCCAAGCCAAGCACAAGTAGCAGCCATCTCAGATTGCTGTATAGCTCAGGTAGAGTGGCCCCAAGAAAAACACAGGTGGGGGCTGACCTTGACCTGCACCACCCAGGAAACCCCAGGGCCTGTGCACCCAAAGGACAGTTATAGACCATGTCAGAGCACCATCACCCTGTCCCTGCACCACCGATCCTCCATGGAGGGCAGAGGTTGGTGGTCAGTGGTCATAGCCGGTCCTTTCAGTCCCTCCCATTGACCTGCCAACAGCAATCAGGGCTCAGCTACAAGAGGTGGATATACTCAGCCCACATGGAGAGCATCCCTCAAGTACCCAGCTTTAGTGACAGGGGAGGCTATGCCACTGAACCCTACAGGACACCTACTACATTAGGCCACACTACCAAGACACAGAGTCATAGCAGCTCTACCTAGTACATAGAAACAAACATAGGGAGGCTGCCAAAATGAGGAGACAAAGAAACATGGCCTAAATGAAAGAACAGATCAAAACTCCAGAAAAAAACTAAACAAAAGGGAGATAAGCAATCTATCAGATGCAGAGTTCAAAGCGCTGCTTATAAGGATGCTCAAGGGATTTAGTGAGGACTTCAATAGCATAAAAAAGATCCAGTTAGAAACGAAGGATACACTAATTAAAATAGAAAACTATTTGCAAGGGAACAACAGTAGAGTGGGTGAACCAAAAATCAGTTAATAATTTGGAACATAAGGATGCAAAATACAACTGATCAGAACAAGAAGAAGAAAAAAGAATCCAGAAAAACTAGGATAGTACAAGGAGCCTCTGGGACAACTTCAAGCATTCCAACAGTTGCATCATAGGGGTCCCAGAAGGGGAAGAAAAAGAGCAAGAAGTTAGAAATCAATTTGTAAATATAATGAAAGAAAACTTCCCTATTTTGGTGAAGGAAATAAACATGCAAATCCAGGAAGCACAGAGAGTCCCAAACAAGACAGATGTAAAGAGGCCCACTTCAAGACATATCATAATTAAAATGTCAAAGGTTAAAAAGATAAAGAGAATCTTAAAAGCAGCCAGAGAAAAACAGTTAGTTACCTACAGGGGAGTTCCCATAAAACTGTCAGCTGATTTCTCAAAAGAAACTTTGCAGGCTAGAAGAGTTTGGCAAGAAATATTCAAAGTCATGAAAAGCAAGGATATCTCAGCAAAGATATCATTTAGAATGTAAGGGCAGATAAAGAGCTTCTCAGACAAGAAAAACCTGAAGGAGTTCATCATCCCCAAACCATTATTGTACAAAAAGGGACTTATTTAAGAAAAAGAAGATCAAAATTATGAATAATAAAATGGCAATAAATACATACCTGTCAATAACTGAACCTAAAAAAACAAACTAAGCAAACAAGAACAGAGACAGAATCATGGGTACAGAGAGCATTTTGATGGTTTCCAGATGGGAGGGATGTTTGGGGGGATGGATGAAGAGGTGAGGGGATTAAGAAGTACATACAGGTAGTTACAGAAGAGCCATGGGGATGTAAATTATAGAATGGCAAATGGAGTAGCCAAAGAACCTACTCATGACCCATGGACCTGAACAATGGTGTGGGGATTGCCTGAGGTTGTGGACAGTGCTGGGTGGAGGGGGGCAAAGGGGGAAAAACTGGGACAACTGTAATAGCATAATTAATAAAATATAATTAAAAAATAAAATAAAAACTGGAATATTTTACTGAAAAAAAATCTAAAACAAAGTTTTCTTTTCAGGTACTTAGACTGTACGTGCCTGAAGCAGAGACTAAGATGGCACCCTCACACTAAATCTTACACCAACTACCAATCATAAGTACTTACTGAGCACCTATGGTACACGAAAGGAACATGAAGTAAAGCCGCAACAAGTCATACTTGAACAACAGTTCTACTTATGAGCACCTGGCATTGTTTTGTAGGTTGTTGAGGGCTGCTGTTGTAATGGGCCCAGGCCACAGTTTGATTGAGGAGACTTCTTTCCACCTTTAGCCCCAGAGCAGTGGCTGTCAGTCAGCTTTGGTGTGAACAAAGGTGTGCATCCAATGGCCCCACTCACACAGAGGCAGCTAAACAGGGGATTGGGCTGAAACACTTGGCCATTATGATAACGTATCTTGTTGAACTCACAGCCCACAGCCACGAGGTCTGAAAAGAGAAAAGGAAAATTGCCAAAGAAGCCAGAACTGATGGTCTAGACCTCCCACTATAAGCCACTGAGGAAATATCTATCTCCTTTACATAATACAGTTCTCAATTTCTTAGGCCTCATCAGGAACCCCCTTCAACAGAACATCTGTAAAGGGTGAAAATGAGACATGATTATCACATTGTAGGCTGTCAGCCTCAAATGGTCACTTCCAGAATTAAGACCAAGTACAGGCCCTGTTCTGGAGTGAAGTTAGTAAAAAAAACCACGATGAGCATAGCAGTGAGATAAAGATCGTAGATCTGAGAGATGGGCTTGGGGCTGGTGAGACTGAGGTTTCCCCAGAGGTCCAGCAATAGCCTGGGATATATTCTCAGCAAGTGAAGAGACATGAATGGCTGAAAGCAGTATAAATTGGTCAACTACAGTACTGCGTGGTAACTGATTTTTTTGTTGTTGTTAAGAGAATTAGAGGAAATTTTCTCTTCCTCTGAGGAGATTCTTGATCTGGATGGTCAGTTTTCAAAGGGTGGCCAATTAGCCCTGTGGCAGTGCCTGAGGCCCTTTCAGAGAACCTGCGAGGTCAGAACTCTTTCTGAGTACTCAGATGCGAATAACTTTTTTCACTGTATTAATATTTGCATCGATGGTGCAATAGAAATGGTGTCTAAAAATGCTGTTGGCACCTTAGCATGAATCAGACTGCACAGGTTTAATCCCTGTATTTTTCCTTGCTGTGCACTTGTACATAAATGCACTTTAACAAAAAAAAATTAAATAAAAAGCTAGTTTTAATTAAGAATGTCCTGATGACACAGTAAAATTAAAATTTTATTAAATCTTAACCATCAAATACATGTCTTTTTAATATTCTTTGTGACAAAATGGAAAGTATACGCAGAGCATCTCTGTAGATGTTGTACCAAAGTACAAAAGTTACCTTGAGGAAAAGACCTGCACTGTTCTTTGAGTTGTGGGCCAAACTAACCACTTTTTCATGGGAATTTCACCAGAAGAAATGACTGGCAGATAAACCATGGTTATTCAAACTTGGGTATTTGCCAGACATTTTCTTGAAAATCAACAAAGCAGGTCTGCAACTGCAAGGAAAACAACTGACAGTATTTATTGTTAATGATAGAATTCAAGCTTTCAAGCAAAAATTAGAATTTTGGGGATTTTGTATCTACCCCTGAGAATTTTATAGCTACTCAATATACAGAACTTTCTGACCAAATTAGGGTTGATTAATGTGATTTTTTTAAAATATTATATAATTATGTATATCATTTGGAACTTATAAATAACCCATTGTTCCAAATTGATATTTTCCAAATAACTGATGCATAGTACAAAATAATGCATGCATTAAAGATGCATTCCAAGTAGGTCTTAGATAGACCAATGTATTTTAATGTCACAGAGTTTGACATTGATGTGGTTTTAGATTCCATAATGTAGTTACTTTTAAAAAACTACTACTTTTCAAGTTTTAATATAATATAAAAAAAAGAATTTCACAATTATCTGAAAAGTCTGTTAAAATATTCCTTCCTTTTCCAATAATATATCTGGGAGGCTGGATTCCCTTTCATGTATTTCAACCAAAACATCATCTAGCAATAGTTTGAAAGCAGAAGCAGATGTGAGAATCTAGCTGTGTTCTGTTAAGTTAAGCATTAGATTTATAAAAATGTAAAACAATCCCACTCTTCTCACTAAATTTTTCTTTGTTTTAGAAAAGATATTTTTTCATAAATTATATATCATTCCTATTAATTTACAGTGTTTTTGTTACTTTTTAAATTAATTAGCAAATATTTTTAAGTTTCCAATCTACTAAATATCAATAGAGATAACTCACTTAAACAAGAGCTCTTTGGGTCCTTATTAATTTCTAAAAGGAAAGGGGGGGATTCTCAGACCAAAATACTTAAAGCCATTTCTCTAAGCCCTGGCTGGTGTAGCTCAGTGGATTGAGCACCAGCCTGTGAACCAAAGGGTCACAGGTTTGATTCCCAGTCAGGCCATATGCATGCGTTGCAGGCCACGAGACGCAACCACACAATGATGTTTCTCTCCCTTTCTTTCTCCTTCCATTTCTCTAAAAATAAAATAGATTTTTTTAAAAATCTTAAAACCATTTATCTATATCATTGATCAGCAAATTTTCTGAAAAGGGCCAAATAGTAAATATCTTAGTCTTTACAGACCACTCAGTCTCTGTCATCACTACTAAATTCTGCCATTGTAAAGCAGCCATAGACTGGCTGTGACTGAATGGGTGTGGCTGCAGTCCAATAAAATGTTATGTAAGAAATCAGGTGAGGGCCATGATTTGCCCCTGAGCTATAGTGTGTGAACCCAGTTATATAGATCACCCCTACCCCCAACCTCAATGTCTGTGAGGTGTTAAAATACTCATCATAATATGTGGAATTATTTGTGAAAAGATCTGTCTGAAACAGTAAACTCTGCAAGGGCAGGGCCTGTATCTCTCCACCCTCGCCACAGCCCCCACCCGCTGCGGTTGTATGTTCGGCTGTGGATCACTAAGTATTGGTTGGGTTAGTGAAACATCCTGCCCAGTACTGTTTGGAAAAAGAGTGTCCTGAATGCCAGAGGCTGGTAGGTCATGTTTTCCTGCTGAATTTCCTGAATAATAAGTGACATTTTTGAGAGTCTACTGCATACCGGATACTGTGCTAGGCATCTTGGGTTTTGTGTCCTTATTTTCATTTAATCATCCTGGAAACTTTATAAAATAGGATGTATATATAATGTAACTAAGGCACAGAGAGGTTAAGCAACATAACATAACCAAGGTCACCCAGCCAAAAGAGCCCAGGCTTTGAACCCAGAGCCTATATCTTAACCACTATAATATAGTGCTGATGAGGGCATCAGGCTATCAGACCTGAATGGCTCTACACATTCAGCCCAGGTCCAAATGTGTTCTCATTCCATGCTCACAACTAAACTTCGGGGAGTAATTTACCTTCCCACTTGGACTTTTCTACAAAGTGACTATACTGCTCAGCTAACATGACAGTTTCTCTTCCCTTAGAAATTTCTTTCTTTTTTTTTAATTTATTTACTTTTAGAGAGAGGGGAAGGAAGGGAGAAAGCAGGGGAGAGAAACATCAAAGTGCAAGAGATTCGGTTGCCTCTCATAGGCCACAAATGAGGACCTGGCCTGCAGCTCAGGCATGTGCCCTCACTGGGAATCAAACCGGTGACCCCCAGGTTTGCAGGCCGGCACTCAATCCACTGAACCACACCAGTCAGGGCAGAAATTTATTTCTTAATCCTAAATTGGCATCCTGAATTATTATCAAGATGTTGTAAGTTTAGTTGGTCTCAATCAGACTCCAGAGCTAAGGCCCATAAAGCTGAGGGACAGGGTGTGATTTGGGGTGCCCCCACCTTCTTTTTTACAAATCTGCTTCAGTAAAAAGTACAGTAACTTGATGATTAGTTGGGAAGGCTGAGATTAAAGCAGCATGTCTGAATACTAGATATACATACCTATATTTTAAGCAGATTACTTTTTAGTTACAGAAAAGGTTGAATTTGGATTGCTTTGGACAGTATTAACAAAAGCTGTCATTTGTGGCACTTTAAGAAATTGGACTCTATATAATTTCTTGTATTTTAATCACTAAAAGCAATTACATGAGAAGAACGGCAAGATCATTTCAATGAAATTAAAATAACAGGTTTCTGAACATGTGTAAACATCTGTTAATTTTCACATGGTATCTAATATGACAGAGCCAGTCCCATTGGTGCATGAAAACTAAAGCCACCTTATAGTTGGTCAAACTAAGCTGATTATTCCAAACAAAAGGTTGCAGAAAAAAATATCCTGTTTAGACTCAACGTTTTCCAGCAGATCCAGAAGAAGACACTTACATGCACACACTCCGGTCTCATACCTAGGCCTGTCTGCTGAGTAGTCACAATACAGCCCTTTGTGTGGGTCGCAGAGGTCAGCTTCATTGCAGATGTCCCCTGGTTGCTTGGCACAGATTTTACAGCATCCACAGCCATCCCTCACCAAGCTCACACCAGGTGGACAACTGGGCTTCTGAGGGCATTTACAGGGCCAGTGACAAAACTGTCTACGATGATGCACTTCTGATGCTTCTCCAGGCCTTCCTTCAGAGGTCATGGCTAATGACCCAGTGCCCTGTGTTCTGCAACAGAACTGCATTTGATAATAAAGGTGATGTTAGAAATGATTCCTCAAACTAATTTCCCGGGTTTTATAGAAGTAGAAGATTTCCACTAAATTGGTAGAATACAGTGTGGTAAATTATAACAATAATCTATATCAGTATTTGACACAATCACTCTCACCTTAAGCTTTTCTTCCCTGAGCTCCCAATACATCACTTTCTCACTCCTCCTTTCTCACTAGTTTCTCCTTCTCAATCTCCTTTGCTGGTTTCTTCTCGTCCTCTTCACTTCTTTCTCTCTCTCTCTCTCTTTTTTTATTGTTGTTCAAGTACAGTTGTCTCCATTTCCCCACCACCACTTTCCCCCACCTCACCCACCCCCACCATCCACCCTCAATCCTCCCCCCCTTTGCCTTTGTCCGTGGGTCCTTTATACATGTTCTTTGATGACCCTCCCCCCGCTCTTTCCCTCATTATCCCCCCCACTCTGGTTACAGTCAGTTTGTTCTTTATTTCGATGTCTCTGGTTATATTTTTCTTGCTTGTTTGTTTTGTTGATTAGGTTCCACTTTTGAACGCATCATCCCCTCCTCCACCCCTGGACAGCTTCTCCCAAGCTTAGAGTTAAAAAGCTCAGAATCATCCTGGTCATCTCCCTCTTCCTCGTTTCCCACACCCATTCAGTGACTAATCCTGCTTATTGTCCTCCTGTTCCTAGAACTAGTCACTCTTCCCCCACTTTTTACTGCCACTAAGTACTACTGCAGTCAGTTTGTAACTGGTCTTCCTTCCTCAAGAATGACTTGGCAAACAAATGGGCCACATTGTTGCTAGAGGGTGCTTTTTAAAAAACACCTGATTTTACTATTCCTCCTCCTAAAAGCCCATCAGTGGTTTCCCACTGTCTGTAGCATACAGTTCAAGCTTCTGAGAATGATGTGCCTTTCTCTCTAGCCTTAGCTCTCAATGCACTCTCCTCCTATGCCTTCCAGTTTGCTAGACCCACGAGGCTGGTTTTCTCCTGCATGGTTTTCCTCATGTTGCTCCTCTAATGAAATGCCCACTCCTAAAACTTCCCACGTGGAGACTCCTGTTTACCTTTCCAGCCTTGAAGCATTTCTATATAATCTCTGAGGTCACTAGGTAACACTTGAAAACCAAGGATAAAGAGAAAATCTTCAAAGAAGCCTGAGAAAAGGAAAGCATTTTATATAAGAGAACAATAAAAAGAATGAGATCTTACTTCTCATCAAAAGAAGAGAAAGATATCCTTCAGTGAGATAATCTGTGATACATCCAGACAATGAAATGTTGTTACTCAGTGCTAAGAAGGAATAAGCTATCAAACCATGAAAAAAGTGCATATTACGTAGTGAAAGAACCAATCTGAACACTCTACAAACTGTGTAGAGTGTAGTATGATTCCAAATAAATGATATTCTGGAAAGGCCTAAACTACAGAGACAGTAAAAAGAATCCATGGGTGCCAGAGGTTGAGGAAAGGGGTAATTAGGTGGAGCAGAGAGGCTTTGGGGGGCAGTGAAAATACTCTGTATAATAGTGTAATGGTACATATGCGTCATTATACATTTGTTCAAACCCACACAACATACAACACCAAAAGTGAACCTTAAATAAGCTATGGACTTTGGGCAATGATGTGTCAATATAGGTTCATCAGTTGGAACAAACGTACCACTCTGGTGGGGGAATGTTGACAACGGGGGATTCATGTGTGGAGGCAGGGGGTCTATGTGAAATCTCTGTACCTTCCTCTCAAATTGGCTGTTACCTTAAAACTGCTGTAAAAAAAAATTACCTTAACAAAAAAATTAAAAATGAGGAGAGAAACAAAATGCCCACAGACAATGCTGAAAGAACCAAAAACAAAAACACCTGACACCCTGGAATTCTATCTCCAGTAAAACTATCTTTCAAAAATGAAAATAAAAGCAAAGACATTTCCAGATAAACAAAAACTAAAAGAAATTTTTGCTAACATGTCTGCCTCACAAGAAATACTAAAAGAAGATCTTCAGTCTGAGGGATATTACAATAGACAGTCATTCAGAAATACAGGGGGAAAATAAGAGTCCTGGAAATGACAAAAATGTGGATAAATACAAGGAATTGTATATATCCTTTTCTCTTTTCTTGAGGCATTTATTGTTTTCCATGTCAAAACTTTAAAACAAAACAGTTATCAGAAAGGTGCAATAGAAAATGAGAGTATCAACAACAAAGCTGAGCTTTAGTATAGCTCTGCCTCCTCAGATAATGTTCTATCATTTGTTGGCTCTTTGAGCCTCAATTCTCCCCTGTAAAAATGGGGTTAGTAATAACCACCGTAGAAGGTTATTCTGAGGATTGAGCTAATGACTAAAGTGCCTCGCACCGTGGTTGGCACTTAAGAGATGTTCAATACATTGTAGGTATTATCAGAGCTTTCAAAAATTCATAATCACAAAATTAACCAAAATAGTACTTCTCGTTGCTCTATCTGTAACAGATTTTGACCTTTGTTTTAGTTCTTTATTTTGGACACAGGTCTCTATGTTGTAGCTCTCAACCCACAGTAACAGCAGGGCTTTTCTCAAGAACGGCGACATAGAGCTAGGGAGTCAGTCTGACTTCCCCCGGGGAACTGTGCCCCTCTGCATAGCAGTGCCACGGAACAAACTGTACCAGGGAGATTCTTGCTATGATGCTCTTAAGATCCTAACTCTCTCCCTATATAATATAACAATTTTTAACCCCTCTTTTCTAAGATACATCTACTACTTACCACCCCAGTCAAGTATTAACTCAGACATGTCTATGTTTGCTAAATCACCAGGTTTCAAAATCTCTGTCTTCTATGCAAGCAATAACCTTCACTATGTAAATAAATCCACAAGTAATTCACCCTGTTTTAATCTTCTTATTAAAAAATACTAAGACAATGAATCGATCATATTAAATTAAAATTCCCTTTGGTCCGTTGCTTGAAATATTTTAAAGTCTCCATGAACTGATTCCCTTCTATGAAAAGTAAGAAACACATGCGTTCAGAAAAGACAAAGTCATAGAATGTTTTCAAAATATAAATGTTTGCCCCAAAGTGCTCCTTTCCTACGGGAACCAGCTTAACTGAAGAAAGTGGTCAAAATCATTTTTTCCAGGGGCTCTTTGCACATTTTGTTCACGACTATGGAAAGTTGAGCCCCAGCCTGGAGCCCAGATGAAGAAGCCCTGTTCACTCCACTGCGCCAGGCAGGGTTGCTGCCTCCCAAATACGCGCTGTGTGTTATACTCCAGTAAAAATATATACATTACTAAAGTTTTGGAGCTGTTCAAACATATCGAAGGTCGGATTAAGTGGCATTACCTGAAAGGGAAAAATGTTTTCCACTTCTTTCCTGAAGCTAATAAACTGAAACGGAACTTTATTTGGAGAGGAAAATGGCTCCCTATTTCTCATGAAGTAGTTCCAGAAGGAACTTACCCCCTCCTCTTCCCCCATCTTCTTCTTTCCTATTTTTGACCTGAAAAAAAAAAAAAAAAAAAAAAAAAAAGGACTGCTGTAGTCTCCTAAAGGGAAGGAGTGAGGAGAGAGAACTTACCTGCGACAGACCAGTGAGGAGAAAGGTAGCAAGGAGGAGGCCCTGCATGTTCCCAGGACCACGCAGCACAACCAGAGATAGGAGCCCCGGCGCCCTCTGGACCGGCCACACAAAGCTCCCCTCTGTCTCCTCAGCAGAAGAACTCAACCCGCCTCCACCTCCCCGGCCACCGAGTTTGTGCTCACACTCTCAGACTCAGCTTTGGCTTTCACAGATCTGTTTTAATACCCTGTTTACTTTCACAGGACTCTTCTCATATTTACCTATCCTGGAGCGTGTCATGAGGGTGTGAGCACTATCCCCCAGGGGACGAAGAAGGGTAGATCAAGCGCTGGCTTGTTTTTGAGGACAGATTCTAGCTGTACCTAAAGATCAGAGTCTGCCTCTGGCCAAATGGTGAGGTTAGATGCATCCACTTTCCTTACCCACTGCCTCTGGGGCCGGGGGTGCCCTGCCCCTGGCCCGCCCCGGGCTGCCTCATTTTCCCACCTTGCTCTTAGCACAGGGTGCGGGCCTGGCCTCCGCAGGCAGGACGCCACCCCCAGCGGCTCCGTTCTCCCTCCACATCAACAACAGTTTTCCAAAGGCCTGTCCGGGCTGCTCCAGCTTCTGATTCTCCCCCTGACACCCCCACAGGGCCCTGGACTTTACCTTTGTCTCATCGCATTTCTCAAACCAGGAGGGTTACGATTGGGAAGAATGTAGATGGAACAGGTACACGGTGGGGCGTGAGGGCAGGGGGTCTCCACACTACATGGGTGGCCCAAGAGAAGCTCCTTTCTGTGGCCACATTCCCATAACAGATGAGAGTAAAGTTAACCCCACTTCTGGGAAGTTAAGATAAAACAATAATGCTAGTGTCAATCATCCATTTAACAAAATTGAGATTTAAGAAAACTTATTACAGATTTGTACCGCTTCTCTTTTTAATTCTCATGTCGCTGGCATGTGTGGCCACCCCATCTCCTCCCCTGCCTGGCCCTGTGTGACCTTTGCTTATCCCACTTAGTCAGCCTTGGTCTTCATTGGTGTATCTTGATACGTATCTGTGAAGGGGCTTTATCTTTAGGGCCAAGTTTTTGGTGTACGTTCCCACCCCCCTCCCAGGGCTTATTTCTGTTCCCTTTGACCTGTTACCTAGCTGACCTCTTCCTGTTCCCTGACCTGTCCTGGACTCAGTGTTCACCTTGTTTCTGTCCAAGGCAGTCACGGCTGTATAAAGTCAGTGAGTAAAGTTCACTCAGGCCCGAGCTGAGGGTCCAGGGAAAAAAGCAGGGCTTTCTGCCAACAACAAGGAATCTGGGGCCTTGGAGAGCCAGGGACTCCACAAAACATGCAAACAAACTCTAGGCAGCTTACCAAGTGGTTAATTAAAGCGTAATTATACATACCAAACAACAAGGAATACCCAGTGTAGGTTTATGGTGTCACCTCCTTATCCTGCCTCCCTAATAAATAGAACGAAACCCAAGAAAGGCCTAGTGAAACAAAATGTGTCTGTTCTGGTCCACCCTGATGAATTTCTTTCTAGTTTAAAGTCCATTTGATCTTTAGGTTCCCAGCCTCCATCATCCAAACAATACACGGTCCAGGAGGACGGATCCTTTCTCATTCCTCACTGGTCCATCAAAAGCAGAGGAGTCTTAGCCCAGGGCTGGTGTATTCATCAACTACAACTCTCCAGTCCCTGCCCTCATGGTTCCAAATGTGATGCTGCACAGGTCCATGCAGTGTTTGAACTCAGGAGATTCATGACCCTCCTTTTCGTTCCCTAGGAATATGGGAGGTGGCAGCCATTGTTCTGGAAACAGCTTCCCTCATTCTGCAGTATCTCTGCCACTCACCATCCTGGCTTCATGGTTGGAAAGGAACATCTTAGTTTAGAACTAACTTATAAAACCTCCCCAGTACACAGAATTGATGGGCTCTGGGTTACTTACTGTCACACATGTTTAGACATCTCCAGCCACAGATGTGCTCTTATTAAATTATTTCAAGCCTACCAAGGATGGATTGAGTGAATATGACATTTTCAGAGGATGGGACTGCCACCTTCCACTTTAGACAATAAGAGCAACTACAGCGTACATCCTGCTCTAAGCACTTTCCTCTATTACATCATTTAACAGAATGTTAATCCGTCCAGGAACTCAATTCAGGAATATTCAGTTTGTGATGTATATTCTCAAGTAGACATGGTACTGAGCATAACTAATATTTACATCATGTTTTATGGTTTACAAGGAAGTTTCATAGGTATTATCTTTTTTTAATTTCGCAGCTCAGTGGGGTAAGCAAAAGCAGTATTACCATTCTCGTCTAACAGATTAAAAACTTGAAGTTAAATATTGTATTTGGTCAATAAAACATACTTAATCCCTGCCCTCTAGAGCTACGTAATCTACTGGGCGAGAAGGCACTAAACAAATAAAGACACGAAGTAGCCAAGATTAAATTGAACAAAGGCCAATAATAAAGAACAAGAAACTGGAAGAAAGAAAGACAGATAGGAGCTAATTTAGATTTGGGAGCACAGTGGGCATCTGTGGGACGTGTCTCTTAGGGAGTGGAGAGATCCAGTGTGCTCTTTCCACTGGCAAAATGCTCACCTCTGATGGTGACCACCTCCATCTGCTAAAAGCACATCCCAGGGCCCTTCCCCTAAGAGCCCTGAAATCACACTAAGAGAAACATCATCACAGGGAGAACACTCCCTTCTCCTGGTCGGCTTGGCCGATTGGAGCAGGCAGAGACCAGAAGCCACACCCTTGTCAGCGCACTTAGCCTGGGATGAGTTTTCCTTTCCTGTCCTCTCTTCCTTCTTTTCCTCTTATAAGTTGTGGAAACAGAGCTATTGTTAGCCCTGAAAAGAGACAGACGTTGTTGGTGTCGTAAATCCCTGAGGGTGTCCCATAAGGGAGGGGCGGTATTTGCAGCAGTGACACTAGAGCTATGGTACTGGGTGGGCCAGAAACTTTTCTGGTTTTTTCCATGTAATAAAAGACACATTTCTCACTTTCACCAATAACTTTATTGATCTGGATATTCTGAGTACATCAGCTATCTCCCACATGGTATAACATTGATCATTCTCAATTAACGTCTCGATTTGATCACTATCAACTTCAACTGGTCTACCCGACCATGGAGCATCGTCCAGTGACAAATCTCCAGCATGAAACTTTGTAAAACACTTTTGACACATTCAGTCAGTCACAGCACCTTCTCCATACCCTGTGCAAATCTTTTTTTGTGTTTCAGTTGTGTTTTTACCGTTCTTGAAGTAATAAAGCATAATATGCCAAAAATGTCACTTATTTTCTTCCACCTTCAAAATGGCTACACAAAAATTCACCAACTTCGATAGGTTGTTTTTTTTTTTTTTAATGCATGCTGGTATGACAGCTATCACAATAAAATCTAACAAAATTGTTTCAAATGAAGTTAAAGTCAACTAAGTAGTATGAGAGCCATCATATGGGAAAAAATACTGAATGAACTTTTTGGCCAACCCAATTGTACTAGCCCCTACCAATTAATGAGTGTTCCAGGTGGCCCATCATTGTGCTGAGTACTGTGTATGTATTGACTCATTGGAAACTCACAGAAACCCCACCAGAAAGGTACTGTTTTTACCATCTTTGTTCTGTTAATGAGAGGACCGAGGCAAGGCCACATGGATAGCAAGAAGTACTGTAGAACCAAGATTCCAAGCACTTAGTCCCCTGCTCTGCTGCCTCTCTGCATGACCTGTCATTTATATCACGATCTGTAGCAGGATGATTTATTTTACTAATTTGAATTGTATTCTCAGTGTTTTTCTTCTTCCTGCTCTCTTCTGTAACGTTAAGTTAGTGAGGCCTTTTATATTTCCCTCTCTCCATCCTCCAAGCATAAAAAGCCGGCATGCTTTGTCTTGTCTTTTAGGGAAGCTTGATCTCACCGAAGAGGTGATACTGGGAGGGGATGGAGGGGAGGGATTTTGAGGTAGCCGAGGAGGAGGAGGAAGAGAGTGAAGCCGTGGCTGGGTGAGGGCTGGACACTCAGGCTGCCCCCATGGCAGTGACAAAGCCCAGAGCGACCCAGTATCAACACAGTGCTCCCAGGAGACGTACCCAAGTGCCAGCGTTCCGCAGTGGCAAGCGCGAAGGAACTCTGTGTGCGTGCAAGGCTTTTAGTGCCTGCACACACATGGGCCATCAGGGTGTGGGCAGAAAGCTCAGACAGTGAAGGCCAGAGAGGCCTGGTCCTTTCCTAGGCAGCAGAGAGGCCTCCCAGGTTGTTGTTCAGCCTCTGCTGGTGCTGGCGGTGTTATGGGGGAGGGGGCGGTGGTTAAGCACCAATGATAGCTTCGAATAAATGTATCTGCAGATGGAGAAGGGGGAGGGTGGTTCAGACCCAGGTTTCATTTTAATTTTAACTTTAATTAAAGATTAATTAATTAATTAAAATTTTCATTTTAATTAGAAGAAATGACTGTTTCCTACAGTCTTGGATTTGTGGAATCGTAGTTCTACTTGCTACAAAATACCACAAGTTTCACAAAATCACCATCCTCCTTAAGTGTATATTCGGTCCTGAAAAATCACAGGCCTCAGATCCAAAACCAGTTCTGGGGACCTCTGTCCCATCAACTCGGGCTCTCTGTCGCCTCCTGGGGGGCCTGCAACAGGTCTCTGGTCACTCAGGGACCTTGCAGCCTGGTGGCCAGGACAGGCCCAGCGGCGCTGAGGGACATTTGCATGGCAGCTGCTGATAAAGTCTTGCTGATGACTTTAAATGACTTCTTTAAAATCACCCTATAACTTCCAAAGCTAAGCATGTCTATAATTCTGCATACCTTCATTTATCCACTGCATCTTTTTGTGCCCATTTTCTGTTATCAGTTATTGCACTTTTCATTTACCTTTCTCATGTATGTACATCTTCTGTTAAATGCATCTCCAATTTTTTTCTTTTTTTTTCTTTTCTTTTTTTTTTTTTACAAAACTCTAGCCTCAAGAACTGAACATGATTTCCGTGACACAGGCAGGACAGCAGAAGTCTATCTTCTC